GCCTCCCGCCCGGCAGGCCCCCTGAACTCTTTTCTGGGCTCTTGGGCCGTCAGCCTCCGGGCCGCCCCCCTTGAACTTTGTGTGAACTGTTTTTCCTGGCCCCCTGTGCCTGTCGTGAGCCTGTGTGTTGTTATGTTGCTTTCCGGGCTCCGGTGTTTGCACTTTTTTTTGTTTCTGGCTCCTTGTTTGGTTTGTCTGGGTCGCGATCTACCGTTTACCTAGCTGTGTGTTCTGTCAGTCCTCCGGTTTAAGTTTATTTTGATTTTTTCCAGTTATGTTATATTTTGAGTATTACATTAAAGCTGTTTTGAGTTCATGACTGTCTCTGGAGTCTGCACCTTGGGTCCTATTCCTGTCTACACACAGCCGTCACTTAACACTGTCTTCCATGGATGTCCAGGTGTTTTCAGGTTGCTGAGTTCACCAGTGCTTTCTTTCTTTCTCAAGGTGTATCAAATGTAGATTTTGCTTCTCCTGATATTGTAGCAATTTCTCGGATGGGTTTTTTCTGTTTTTGCAGCGTAAGAAGAGCTGGTATCTCTTGTGAGTTCTAAATTAAGCACATACCAATAACCTTTTTGTCTTTGTTTTAATGTAAATGGGAGCAGGATTTGCAAAATGAGCATCGTGCTTTAGTCATTGCTGCTTGGGGTAAGGACAAGCTCACATATACCCTTATACATCAATATTTTCCCCTTTTGGTATACCAACATGGAAATAATAATCTGGACTAAGTGCTAAAATGCAACCGAACCTTGTTTAATAATTTGCTGGGTATGTGGTGGATGTCATGAGGCTAAAAGCCACTAAGTCCATGCCAGTGTTTCCTGAGAACATGTTATTTTTTTTAATCATATACTTGTTTTTGAAACCACGTGTTTCTGAAAGCAGAATCAGAGGTATAAGGCACATCTCTATCAGTTTACAGACAAGCCAACACCTGTTTCTGTAAATGTAGCAAGTAGATGCCATGACTAAGACTTTCTGTGTACTACTCAATATTTTTGTTTGACAAAAGGTAACAAAAATCTCAGTTATTTCAGACTACATCTGTTGATATTGAGGTTGGCTCTCATAACATCTGGTTTTCTGGTTTCCATAAGATTTCCTTAATTATAACCACAATTGTTTTCAACTTTTACTATTTTTTTAACCAAATCTAACAACCTTTATTGGAAGGAAAAGAATAACAAACAAACAAAAAGATTCATTCACTATTTTCAAACGTCTGCTGAGCATAGTCAACCAAGAAATGCAATATTTCTTTCATATATTTGCAAGAAACAACACTGACCATATATTTAAGAAAACTGCTGTGTTCTTAAAAAACTAAATTGTGCAAGCAGATTCACTTCCTCTGCAGGAACATTGCTGTGCTTATCAGTAGTGTTATATTTTGATATCATATCTGTTCATATCTGCCAGGGTGTCTCCAAACATCGTCATGTTAAATGATCTGGGTAGAACTTGAGTCTGCACAGACAAGTAAAATGTAATCAGGATATTCACTTTTCGCTGCAGACAGTTTTTCTATTTGTATTTTCAATTGCATTTTGATGCCAGGTCTCTCTTGGAAATGAGATTTTTAATCTCAATGAGATTTTTTTTACCTGGATAAATAAAGGATTAATAAATTGTGTGTATCCTGGTGAATTAATCTTTTAGATATTTAACTTTTATTCAATGAGAAGTTAATTAAGTTGATTTTTTATGTCACTGTAAAAACAAAAATCACTGGCAACCTTTCGGCATGTTGTCCTTACAGGTGCACCACAAATGACAGAGGCGATGGGCTAAGCTTGGGGCTGCTGATTAAAACCAAATAACAGAACTTTAATCTTTTGCTTTATGCTTACTGCAGTTTTATAATCAGCCTTTTTTCTGTTTTGTTTCCAGTTTTCAAGCTCCAGTTTAAAGTTTAGTTTTTTCTATTAGTGCATGTCTGAGGAGGCTGTCCCGTACACACGAGGGCTTGGCTACAGGGCAGCTCTTTGTGTGTTACTTCCCCTTACATTCTCTGTCTGCGGAGTTTATCAGAGAACACAAACCTGTACATCATTACATTCTGAGCTACAACCTCACTGCTTCACCTCCTGTGAGACACTCTCTAAAAAGTGAAAATGGGGAAAATTAATGGATGCATCAAGTGCATTTTTATTTTCTTCAATGTGCTGTTTATGGTAAGTCAAAACGTTCTTTCTAATTTAATTTTAAACTTTAAAAAATATTTTTGTGTTTTGTTCAGTTTTCCAGGACGATTTTACGTACGTTATGTTATAGAGTAGAACAGAATAGAGTTTATTTCAAATATGTAAATATAACTAAAATAACAAGAAAAAACTTTGTAAAAAACAAAAACAAACAAAGTAAAGCCATGAAGTTGCTGTGAATAGCTCCTATTCCTACATGCTAAAAAAAAAGGATGAACTAGGAAAAAATACCTTCAGCGTTAACTAAAATTGTTGTACTATACTAAAGAAAACAAAAACAAAATATGATCATCAAATTTGATCATATTAATGAAGACATGCTTCAATGTTCAAAATATTTTTCCAAAAAAGCAATCAGATACAAATGTGGTTAACTGCTCAGCTCAGTAATTTCCAGTAAA